TACTTCTTGACAAGTATTATGGGGCTAGCACTAAGGAAACTGAATATCTGACAACATTTTCCAGATTTCTTGAACAAAACCACAAGATACATAGCAAACAAATCTGACTTATTCATACTAACAAGTTACAAAGCAGCAAGCTAATTTTCATTAAGACATACTGTTGAAGTTCTAGTAAGTCAGAATGGCAAAAGTAGGGAAATAATAAGGTTATAATGATTATTAAACCATCAAACACCACCTTGTGGACTCTAGCAGACTAAACATGTCTGTGTGAGAGATTATTTCATGTTAGTATAAACAGCTTTACTAGTAAATTATAATTACAGGACCTCCAAAACTTGAAAATAATCCCAACTAGCCAAAAAACACAGTTAAAGGAAAGTTGTCTTTTCCCATTGAACTTCCTTCACTTCCCAAACATTGAACATACCTGTTAGCAATGTTGTGGCTACAGATACACAACATTCATTTGTGTACATGTTATTTTCCAATAAAGTTATCAAAAATACTAAAAATATCGAAGTCCATCCTTACAATAGAAAACTAAAAACTAGTTAAAAATACATCTTGAAAATAAATCTTGAAAAGTTATACTAATCATTTTTAAACTGTCTTTATAGGAACTGTGTCTATTTTATTTTGTTTTAGAGTATTCTGCTGCAGGAAATACCACAGAAAGCAAAAGCAAAGCTATAAATTGAAAAATAAGGTGGATACAAAAATCAAAGCGGTAAACTGTATCAGCAGCCTATCGCTGTATACTCTTGTATAAATGTTTAAGAAACAGTAATTAAGTTTACATTTATAAACATGAAGTTTATAAATGAAATGCAAATAAACCTTTCTAGTAATATTTAGATTCCAGTGTTTTATATAATGACTCTATGGAGTAATGAAAACTTCTTAGGCACCCCACGTCTTCATTATGCTATCTTCAAACATACAGTAAAGAGCAGCTATCATTGCCTTCTGTATAACATTTGTCTATTGAGACTTTTAAAAGTTCTTGAATTTTCAAATTGAATTGAACTTTAAGAAATTGGTTTTGTGCTAATACAGAACAGTTCAAAATGTATAATTAACAGTTGAGTTTCAATGATACGATTAATTTTTAATACAGAATAGACCCTAATGCTTTCTTTTGTTCTTCTCCAAAGCATTATGGAAGCAAACTGAAAATAGCCTGGACACTATGTTTGAGATGAGCAAACAAACTATGTTTCCCATTTGTTTATACTTGTGAATCTGGTTTCATAACCATCATGAGAGACTGGCGTATTAGTTTAGAAAAGAAAAAGCCCCACTTGACTCTTACCAGTCATAGCCCACTGCAAAAGATGTCTCAATTACTGGTGCAATGAGTTTAGCAGCTGTCATGATGTATTCCTCTGCCATAGATTTCCTAACAAAAAAAAAAACAACCCCAAAACAAGAATCACACCACACAAAAATCAACACACAAACATGTCACCATTTCAAAAACGTGTACAAAAAATAACCAAATCTTCCTGCACTCAGGACAATCTTAGAAGTCAATCCAACCAGTCACCTGCTACTACTACTGCCCTATATCTTGATAAAGCTCTCTGTTTTTTCTCTTTTCCTTTCACTGCACACTGTTGTATTTTAAAAAAAAAAAAAAACAACCAAAAACCAAAAAACAAACAATGCTGCAAATTTTAAGCACTGTAACCTATAGCATTTGGGGTTGATATTCTATTTGAGTGCAGTACACTAAACTGAGTGATCCAACTGGTTCTTCCAAGCGTGTTCTTTCCTAAGAATTATGAAGACGCTTTTATAGCAAGAGCTGTGGACAAGTGAGAAGGCTGATAATACTTTCAGGAGCTAAAATCCATGACATCACAGTCAAGAAAGAATAGACTCCACCATTACCTCTCACGTTCTATTTGTCTTAAGCTGTCATTTTTAATGGCTTCAATCAGTAGATTTGTATGTGGATCATCCTGGAGGGAGACAAAACAACTGCAAATTACGCCAGTATACATGCATTTTAATTATTTTATAGACAATATGACGGCAAACGTAAACTGATGCAAGTTACATAGTCTATAATGTCAGTTATTTACTTTTAACATTTCAAAAAGCTAGCTTCAGTTTAAAGTAGTTTTCTAACCACAAAACCTGAAATTCAGCACTTGAATCCTGTTTTTCTGCTCACACTTGTGGTCATAGATCACATTAACTATACCTATTAACAGCCCTAATATCATGTGTATCGGACTGGGAAGGCTGAAATCACAGTGAGAATACTCACATGCTTAAAAATAAAGGCATGCTTAAGCATTTGCCGAACTGCAGGGGTATTCAGCAGATGAGGTCTTGTACTACCCGCTCGTTACAATAACTCACATGATCATCTTGTGGTTTCTATCACACATCTCTGTTAGTTCTAAAAGAACTAATGCAGATTTCGTTAGCCATCCCTTCCTCATGTACTGGGGATAGATCATGGAAACTTTGATCTTTTCTCTGACCTCCTCCTAACAAAACACAGAACTTGGAATGTCTGTTAAAACTGTAGCTTGCCTATCCTTAGAAAGAACTTCTACAGTCTCAAGCTTTTCTTCCAATGAATGATCTTACACAGTCTTCAGTTAACTCAAGTGTTTAATGACCCTTACTGTTATGTAATTGCTAATATGAGAATTATATATAAAAAGATATTTAAGAAATTATACACATATTTACCAATAAATACAAATAAATATATATGCTTCTTATATTAAATTTTATTTGCTTACGCTAGGACAACAGGAAACAACAGCTACTTGTAAGTTGCAAATAGTTAGAAGACTAATTATATGTTTGATCTTTAGGACTGAAAATGGAAGCTTTGCATCACTGAGAAAAAGATTGCTAAGAGAATATAAAGGGCTTGCCTTGATCTTTCTATAGAGGACCTTTCTAAGAGGGACCCTAAACTTTTTAATTACTTTTTGCGGTCTTCAACGTCACGAGATGTTGATTTCATTGTACAAAGGAAGGCAACTTTCCAACAAAGTCTAATAAACTGAAATAAGCATCTGTAAACTTCACTAAAATTTTCTTCTGTAAAATAACACTACAGTATTACAGGTTTTATTAGCACTCATTTGAGATAACCTGCAGTAACTCACTCATTGCTTTGCTCCCTTTATTTTAGCTTATAAATATTTTACTAAAATTGTATATAAATAAAGGAGGCAAAGCAGTAAGTGAGCTATGTAAGTTAGCCCAGATGAATTTCAACAAAATTGTTATGAAGGCAATTGTGTGGTGTGGATTTTATAAACATCACATCTTTTGAGGAAAAAAGGATTTCAATGTTCTCAACATTATTTTACACTTCTGAGCAGAACCGCCACACTAAGTTAATGCTGGTAAAAAAAAAAAAGTTATTTTAGATACATAAATACACATGGGTTTACATATTCAGTATAGTCCAAGCATTCAATGTCTCTCCCCCTTTCTCCTGATTTACCATATAAAGACACAGTTTATTTCGTTCAAACTTACATTTGGTGAAATGTATTTGTCGTCATAATCCACCTCCAAGGGAACAGCAATCAGTTTTTGGAAGGCTTTTTTCATCTGCTCACCGTTTCCAATAGCAAAATAACATAGGATCAAGTTGAAGCCTGCCTTCAGGTTTGGGGACATGCTCATTATATGTTCAAATGAAGAAATGGCATCACTATATTGGCCAGTTTTAATAAATGCAACTCCGATATTTTGCATTATTTTAATTCTAAGTAAAGAAATCAGGCAGGATTAGGTTATATTTTTATCTATAAAATCATACTGTATCCAAAACTTGTATTTCAGAACCATGCCTACTAGTAGAAACTCACCTCATCTCTTTGTGGACACTAGGAATCTGGTCTAAAGCCATACGGTAGAATTTGATAGCTTTGGAATAGTTACGTTGCTTTAAATATATATTTCCCATATTCACCTTCAGTCTACCTATCAAAAGAAGTCAATGAGTTACAGCCTTTTAAAGCATGGTCACAGCATTTTTCAGTTGTTTCAAAGTGACAGAGTAGAGCAATTTCTTAATAAATGTATCTTCATTATAGGTACCGGTGGCCTTTAAAGCAGCACTGCATGGAACAGCCTTCTGTGAAGTTTCACTCAGAAGTAGATGAAGTAGTAATGAAACCTAGAATAGAACTATCACTGTAAGATATATTCTAATTTTGATTGTGAATTGAGGGATGAGGTAGAAATTATTTACAGTGCTCTCCAGGAAGACAGCTGCAAATAAGCATCTTGAGAAAAGCGCACTGTAGAGTCTCAAAGATGTGCAAAATACTAAAAGAAGTTTTCAGAAGAGAAAAGCTGAGACAAAAGAGAAAAAAATAGTATTAAAGCAGACAATATAGTGCGTGCTGCATGAGAAAATTGTATATTTGGCTTTATGTTTAGCTTAGCCTATGGAAAGAAAAGACTTAATGAGCTGGAGAGCCAAACCGCATTAAGTTATACCAAGTCAGAGATTATGAGTATCTGTCATCCACTCTGACTGACTGACATGAGGGCTGAGATCTCTGCAAGTCAACACCACCCAGATAAAGTCCTTATTTTGAATGCCTGACTACCAATTTTAATCCACTTTGGAATGTAGCCTACCTCCATTGCTGAACATCTTATTCTTCACTATAACTTGGTAAGTATTCAGTGCTTCAGCATACATTTCATTAGCAGCATACTGACTGGCCAGATTGAAAAGAACCTGTAGAAAAATGGAATTATAGGCAAGAAAATAATATTGTTCTCTCAATAGTAATAAACTTGAATTCATAATAGATAATTTTGCATTCATTTACCTTGGAAGTACTGCTTTTACAGTTTTAAGCTTCCCATCTTTAATGCTCCTTTATTCTTGTACATTGACATAGAGAAAATAAGTTTCAAATCTACTTATTCTAGGTAATTATTTTATTTTTGTACTTAAATAACTACCATTAAAAGTCATGCTAAGTGGGCCTTAGACCTACGTAAACACCATGTTATACTCCAAGGGTATTAAAACACATTAATACAAGACAATTCTCAGAAACTGCGCGTAATTCATTACCCCCAACGTGTGGAAAACTGTCTTGCTACCTATGGTCACTCAGTTTATGAAGAGAGAATTTTTCCAAACTGCTGTTTCAAAACAGAAGTTCTGTTGGCATCAGGTAAAATACCTCCACATTTCTCCCCAGCTTTAGTCTGACCTTCACTATGAAGTAAATTCCTAGGTCTGCTTAACTCAATGCATTCATTGCTAATAATTTTCTCTACAGCACTATCTGGAGTATAACTCTAAATTCCCCCTAAGTATTTTTATGTATGTTGTATCCTTTTTAAAAAAAAAAAAAAGTCTACTATTAATTTGAAATCCAGAATGTAAATCTAGATACCTGCTTTCAGATTCAGGATTTAGGAATATTAATATATCCTATTTCATGTAATCATTATCTGACACTTTACGGTTCAAGTTAAAGGCAGCATCTGAACTCTCCTGTTTTCTTCTCTAGGCATGTTACATTTTCTAGGCTATTTTTGAAGTACAAGGTTTATATCTGTTATATTTTTATATGCATGCTTTGTATGTGAGTAGGTAGCTGGCAAAGACGCTCATGGGCATCCTTCTTCACTTAATGTTGATTATGTGGTTTCTCTGGTACTTGAGACTGCAAGGGAACAGACTCGAAGATGTAAATGGATCTTTGCAGTCCAATGTTAAGTTTTAACTTCAAGAAGTAATTCACTTCATCTTCATAAACTTCCCCTGCTCCCAAATGTAGACCATATCTGATGTGGTACACTGCTAGGAGCATTACAGTACACACACTCAGCAATGTCTCTTTAGGTGTGCTACCAACACCTTTCACTCACTGAAGATTTCTAAGCACTTACTGAGTAAGTGAGGTCTAAGTTGATGTTTTCTGGAGTAGCAATTTGTTCACGTTGTCTCACCAATACTCTTTCCTTTCTTCCAGCCTCTTTTGCTTTTTCCAGAGCCTTAAAAAAAATACTAGGATTTAGCAATGCCTTGAATCTTATTAACCCAAGATGGCAAAAATCAGTTCAAAAAAAGTATGAAAAGAATATACTCATGTCCATTTTCTCTAGACACACAGACTGTACCCAATGCCTGAAAAGTAGCAATAGCAATACAACCCACAGAAAGGTGTTAATCAGTAATAAGCAGACATACAGTTAGTTGAAGCCTGCTTAGCTGTATAATTTTAGAGAAGTATAGTCACACACATATATATGCCATAATCACAACCCTAGAAGATTATTCTACTGGTATTAATGATAGAAAGTGCACATAAATGTTAACCCCACAAGAAAGTAAACTCTCAACACTGTGGACTGCTACATGAAGACATGCTAAGTGAAATCCCTCTCCCCAAAGGAGCTATCAGCTCAACAGATAATCCAAAAACCATTGGAAGTACAGTATAGTATCATCCTGATATCCGAACTGTCTAGGCACACCTACCACAATCAAGATGGTCAATGTTTGATCTTGTCTTAATTTGATCAGGTTCACTGGAATTGCTTCAAACACTGAAGAAAGGCCCTACCAGGCCTTTTGACCAGAGAAACAAGAACGCATTCAGAGAGCTGGGACAGCTTTTTTCTCAACAGCAATAGATACAATGCTTCTTTGTAGTAAGCAAAAAGATAGGGGATGTTACCCATCCTGAAAGACAGTCCTCAAGACAACTGAAATCTTCCTGTCATAGTCTGATAGGGCAAATGTCTTATTCTGTATCTGAAAATATTCACACTACATGACACATAAAATCATTGTCAAAAGTACATTCTTGCTGTACTAGTTCCAAAGGAAAACTGCTGTCTTAAAGAGAGGAGAAAGCCTCAAACCCAATATGCTTCTTAGTGAAATGCTGGATATTTCTCCACAAAGGGCAGATCCTGCCACTGTAACATGGAATATCTCACTTACAGGAGGCCTGAAATGTGCAAATAAAGATTACTACTTAAGAAATCTGTGAAATATAGATACAATTGTAAGGATAACATATGTAGTCTGATAAGAAGTATCACATAGGCACACAATATCACCTTGCATAAAATAGCTAAGGAGGCCCTTATTGTGTGTGAAGAGCACCAGACAATATGAAGTCCCTTCAAGGTAAGAAAACCCTCACTGCCACTGGGTCCAGCATGGCTCCCAAGAGCTGAATCAATTCTAGACGTCAATGCAAAGACAAAGACTTCTGAACAAAGATGATCTATCAAAAGATGGACTGCATACTTCTTAACAGAGCCAAACTGCAGTTAAGACTACCCTTACATTAAAACAATTAAGGTAAGATTAAATGATGCTGTACCCACCATGTTTCACAAGACCTAAAGAGATATTTGAAATTGTCTGAATCTGAGTGCAGACAGAAAAATATTTCTTTGTGTCAGACAAAAAGACAACATTTATTAAAAGTGCTGACTTGTCCAAACAGCTTGAACTCACTAATTACATCTATACTAGATGTAAATCAAATGGGCTAGAGCCTGTTCTTTAGCTACTACTAACTGACAACACACTGTACTACTACCCTCTACAACAGATCAAATATATTCAAACTGCCTATTGGAAATGGTTCCTTATCCATAGTAACCTTCAACTATATCTAGGAACTGTTTAGAAAAATGCTGGTTAGCCTGGGCCAGAACCGTGCCAGTAACCATGCTAACAATTTACAAACCTATTGATTGATTCACAAATATAGACATTGCGTACAGTGGACAAACAATGCCATTTTCCCAATCACAGACCATTTGCAATCTTTGTAATGAATTTTGGAGCTCTTAGTCTCCAAAACATGAGAATTTGACCAAACCGAAGGCCATCTAGCCTAGGATCTGCATCAGACAGTATTAAGCAGCTCAGGAAATATGCTTTACACATTCTTGTACTCTAACAATACCTCCTCAGGATACACTCCAAGACTAAAAAATTTTGCAGCTTGGATGACTAAGCAAGGAACATCATCTCTCATAGCTCTATTTAATTTTTTTCCCCTTATGGATCAGATGCCATCAACTTGAGAGGGCAATGGATGATCACAAAGGAAGTCTACATTCCTAAGAAACCAATGTATCTCATTAATTCTAACAGTTGAGCCTGCTCTGCCTCTAGTAGTTTGGGAGCTGGAGCTGGCCAGTCCAAAGTACATGGAACAAAACGTAATCCTGGTCCTAAGAAGGAAGAGTTAGAGGCTATTTTGATCAAGTGGAACCCAAGGTTAATGTGCTTTATTGCCACTGTCCTATGAAGGATACTGGTGTTTGCACTTTAGGGTTTGCTTAGCTTGGAAGGTCCCCTCGTGTGACAGAAAGAAGACAAAAGAGTTGATCTTGATGCTGACCCCTTGTGGTGCAACAAAAGCACTAAACAGCTCCTGACATAGAAGGGTACTGTGGAGGTGGCTTAAGTGAGATTGATCCTGGTGTTGAGCACCAGTCCTGAATGAGAATTACATTATCCAAAAAGCTCAAGCAACATCAAGGAAACGGAATGTCACTCAGACAAGATCCTTACACATCTGAGGATCAAATGCTGCAAAGATGCCAATACCAGGCTTGTAATTGAAGAAGGGTCACCCATTCCCATAAATTCCATAGGTTAGACTGGGAAAAAGTGCCCAGTATGACTAATTGATCAGACCCATTTGAAGAGGCCAATGGAGATATGAGGGAGTTTTTGTAACACCAAAATCTTAAATATATACACAAGAAATACAGCTCCTACCTTTTTTTTTTTTTGACAATACAAGGATTGGAAGAGTCATAACAAAGTTAGAAATAAGATGATTTTAATAACTTGAAATGTTTGAGGCCAAGTCAGTTTGAAACATCTACTGACACAAATTGTTCTTCGCATAAGAGCAAGTGAAGTCAAATCCAAAAAAATTACCAATTTCAAGTCTCCACAGCTGTTGGCAATGCAGCTTTCTTCAACCAGTTCATTCACTTTTTTTTCCAACTGCCTAATCTTCTCTTCTGAACTAAAATAAAAATAACAATACAAGGATTAACACTAGTAACATAACTGCAAACACTAAGCTGTTACACAGGATATTTTCAATAAAACACGACAGTTGTGTATCACATGTCACAACTATCTGGTTTTCCCATCAAAGAAAATATGTGAAACTATGCCCAGAGAAGATCCTCCAAAGATAACACATTCACACTTTTAATTTGAGAACAGACACCCAAGAAAACAGAGAGACAAGACAGACATGCAAATTTCATGGACCCAATTTGTTCACAGAATCACAGAATGGCAGGGGTTGGAAGGGACCTTCGGAGATCTTCTAGTCCAACCCCCCTGCTAAAGCAGGTTCAGGAGAAGTAATGACAGAACAAACAGATGGGCTGGTAAAACTTTCAAATCAAATACCTAGTGAAATGAAATATTGTATTAAGAGCAATTAATTGAACCTTTGCATAGATAACTTGAAAGTATAGCTTGCCAATGCAGATTTTAATAAAAAGTTGTTATTTATCTAGACTTTTTTTTTCAGTTAAATAATCAAAACATTTCAGAAGAATTCCCTATTCCTATATAGCTACATTTGAGGAATACACCTTTCATATTCAAAAGCCCAATGACTTGTTCTGAGTGAACTCCCCAACATTCACAGCAGCCTGCAAAACTTCTACAACCTCAGTTTCACCTCAAGTGGTAAGGTCAGAATGAACAGAGAGAAACAGCAGGCAAATTCCCCCAAGTTCTTCCCAGCAAGCTGCATGGATCATGGCGTTCCTTGCACCCTCTTCCACAATCCTCCACAATTCTATGTAAGTATCACAGTATTTGTGTGGCAACAGCTACGTCCATGCTGCTGAGCTAAGGTCTACAGTCAGAACCAGAAATCACTGAAAGCAGATGGTCCTGAAACTCAGTGCAACTGCTCTGGTAAGTCAGCTAACCACATGCATAAATGCTTGTGGCATTATTTCGCAAAGTTAAGAGTTCAGCCCCTCAAGGTTTTCTAACTTCCTGGATGTTTTTAATCTCTACCCATGGCTGGTTTTTTGTTGCTGTTAATGCTCTGAAATAATTTAATGCAAAACTGAACAAACCTGTCTGAATTTTTCATTTCCAGAGGTGGAGCAGGACCCCTTGCTTGGCCAAGAGGATCAAATGAAGAACCTGCAAAATCAACAGAGTACTGAGAATTGTAAACTAACATCTCCCTCTGGCAGCCAGTAATTTCTACAAACCATACCTCTCATAGCTGCCTTAGTGTAACCTGCAGCATGCACTGCTGTCATTGGTCGGGCAACCCCATCCTTAAATAAAAAGAAAGACATATTAAAATAATGTTCCTAAAAAATAAGACTGTGGACAGTATGGATATCAGTTACGTATTATAAAAGCTTTAAATACAAAAATCAGTTGTTACCACCTCAGTAAACTGAGTATTTTTTAAAATGTTTTTATTTCTCAAATATTGTACATCCTTACTGCCTACATAGTAGAGGAGCAAACACTATTGGGAAACTGTAACTGACACAAAGGAACACCTACTACTTTGTGTAAATTTTATATGTATTCAGAATACTTAATTTCAAACATCTTTTATTTTTAAAAAATTCTCAATAATTGTTGGTCTTGAGATCCGTAATGTACTCTAGCTTGTTGCACAAATAAACTAGAATTTTTTTGTATTTGTAACTTATTATCAGACAATGCATCCCAACACAGGAATGTCTCACCCCACCCCATATGAGCTTATTAAACTTTCCTGTCAGGACACCGAATGCACTAATAAACCTGAATAGCCCTGACCAGACTCACCTGGGGTCTCCAGCCACACACCCTACCCATGGATCCAAGAGCTTTATTTAAGCTCAACCCTGGTCCCTCAGCCCCTGCTGGAGCTTTGTTGGAAGACTACTGGTTTCCACATCAGCCACAGCTATGCCTGGCCACAGAGTCCCTCGATCCAGATTTCAACCTGTGGGCTGACTCCCTGGATTGATCTTAGCTTTGCCTTGTCACAGCCAGTGATCACTGGTCCTAACCCTGGCCCACGCATTGACTTCCTGTCTTGACCTTGGACCTGCCTCATAACCATGATACTGCCTTATGTTCTGAACTTTTGGTTGGACATGGCCACCTTTTCTGGGTGGCTCTTACTTGCCTTGCTCAAGTATTGCGGCACTGGGTCCTGGCTGGTGAGGCTCCTGCACTGCTGGCCATGCAATTTCCCTCTAGACTCCTGGCTTGCCTTCCCTTAGGGAGTAGCCCTATTCTTGATGCTCCCTGATAATTCCCGTTTCCCACCTGGGCTGACACAAAAGGATATAGTGGCTACAGATATATTTAACAATAGGTCAATATACTGAAGGGGGGTGGTGGGAGAGTCATTGGTAAATTGCAGTGGATCCTTTTTAGAGTATAAGTACATAAGAAAAACATGAAAACCAGAATCTACCTCTCTCCTATTTCAATGGGAAATTATTCATTGCATGTCAATAAGTGTTAAAAAGCCCTACACTGGTATTGCTTCCAATCCTGTGCTTAGATAAAATAGTCATCACAACCCTCAGGCTGACAGTAGTATTTTCAAAACAGGACAAATTAAGACAGTGTAAAAATTTGTATTATTTTGATGAGCTTTTAAATACTTGTATCAAACCCAAACACTTACTAGAAAACTACAGTGTTCCAAATAAATATAAAATGCAAATATTGAAACTTTTACCTGTATAGCTCCTGTCATTGGTCTTCCCATAGATGAAGTTAAAGTTGCCTTTGACTACAAAAATAAGTAAACTGTTTGAAACTAGCATTTACAAAGCATTAGAAGACTGTAAAGGCTATGTACAGTCTTCTCAACACTGAGTTTTAAGAGTTGATCTAACACACACAAGCTCATAGCAAAATTCCCATTTACATTATGAATATGCACTATACTGCTAGTGCCTGGCAGACTTAAAGATGTTAAACACTTCAGTCAGCACAAATTCACAATACTGTTTTTTATGTATTTGGGTATTTCCAACAGACCTTTTAAAAAAATTACTTAGAAATTTAGCTGAGACAGTCTGTTTTTTATGTATTTGGGTATTTCCAACAGACAAATTACTTAGAAATTTAGCTGAGACAGCAGTACTTTCCATTATTACACTATTGAAATTACTACTTTTAAATTGAACAAGTAATTTGCACAAAATACTTCAGTAAGATTCTGAGTACAGCTGATAAGAGATTAACATGGGTCTGGTTTTAAGTACACTTTCATGAGGATTTATTTTATAATAAATACAGATATACTTTGAAACTGCCAATGGATATCTTTTCCATTAGCTGACATGTCGCATACTGTCCTTCTGTAGTAGTGTTAAAAATCTAAAGAAATACATGTGAAATATTTAATAGTAAGTGCTAAACATTGCTACAAATATACAATACAAACAGACAAAAATAAAGGATTTCAGGCCATGAAAAAGTATTCCCCTGATTTCCACCCAGCTGACTATGTTTTACTATTTTACCTACTATCCATCTCACACCATGACTGGTTTTCATTTTTTTTCTGCTAAGGCTGAACCTACATTAACAAGGACTGTAGTGTAGGAGAAGCAAATCTGCAGAGTGAAACAGGTAGCACTGTGGACTGGATAATGCTTTGGAGGTTTCTACCTCTACTGATGCAGGTAAACACCTCAGTCTTTATTATCCTTAGGAAGTGCCTTTTTGTGCACTCCTTTAAAAGAACAGCTTTTCCCCTCACAGCGTGGTACTACACTAAACATCTGCAAATACAACTGCTAAGAAAAAGCAGTCTCAAAAGGAACATATCCAGAGCAAGTAACAGAAGGTTGAGAGTAAAGGTTGTATTTCAATGACTTAGCATAGAATTTAGGTGTTCTTGAAATTGTTACACAGCTAATATGCATAAGAGATCTGAAGCAATGTGATCTCCCCTCTCGATTTATCATAAAACTTAGAGTCATTTTATATCTATGAGCACTGTCTTTTCAAATGTGACTGAGACAGGCTAATAGATTGAAAATTTATTGGAATAAGGGGACAGTGGATATATCAGTAGCACATAACTTCCATTTCCATAGCAAAACAGGTTGAAGTGTTACTTATTTAAGAGTTACAGTGGGCTAAGTATACCAAAGAATATAACCAGCTTTTTCTGACTAAACTGGAGGTGACTCGAAAGCCCGTACTTTTTAAGACGGAGTTTCACTTTAACTTTCAGAAAACTTTCCCAAGCCTAAATAACTACCCATCCACTCCCACCTGCAAGAAAATCAGGTTAATACCTTGGAATCTACTGCCTTATGCAGTACAGAAGTTTATTTGCAGTTTGGTTTGGGAGAAAAAGAAAGAAAAGAAAAAAAAAAAATCAGTAACCATGCCTTGACCAAGTGCAGAGCTGTGAATTAATTAAGATTAATGAATACATGTAGTTTACTGGAAGGAAATACTCAGATAAAGAGAGCTCACTTTGTGCAAGGGAGTAAATGGTAAGTTTATTTTTCAGTAAATACCTCATTTTCATTAAGAATACAACAGAACAAAAACCTACCCCAAATCCAGTAGCTAAAGGTCTTGAGGATGATGTACCAGGAATTTTGGCTGTCAGCTGGGTGGAAAAAAAACCCCACCCAACAAAACCACCAATTAACAACCATATGTGTTAATTATTTGTCTTCCTATATAGTTTCTACAGTGAATTCATAGAAATAATACTTCAACTGTTATAGAAAGAATTCTTATTGTAGAACCAGGTTACTCTGGCAACGAAATAACATTAATCAGACAGTTCCAGCTCTTCTTTAGACACATAGTATGTACTTCTGAAGTGCAGGTGTCAACCTGATATTTAGTTTTGAAAATTGATATAAGATTAAGTCGCAGCTAAATGAAAGTAAGAAAATTAATGTAAATTACAATAATATGGAGGAAAAAATGATCAGAGCAATAACACATGGTTTTCTAAATCCACCCCACTGTCAAGTATGTATCGCAACCTTGTAATCATATGTCAGAGCCAGTAATTCTATGGATAGAACACTAAACAAAGTCCTTTCAGAATACATAATTTTGCTCTTTAATAAGGTTTTATCTCGTTTTATCAAACAAGGATAAACATAGAATCATAGAATGTTTTGGGTTGGAAGGGACCCCTAGAGGTCATCTAGTCCAACCCCCCTGCAGTGAGCAGGGACACCACTAACTAGATCAGGCTGCTCAGAGCCCCATCCATTCCAAACATTTCCAACTGAAATTCCTTGTTTGTTCTAGCTTATCTCTGGAACTTAATGGAACTCGTGGTCTGCTAATTTTTTACTTATTTTTCATATAAATAACTGAAGTCTGTATCTTCATGCTATTAGTTTAAAAAAAAAAAAAAAAAAAAAAAAAAAAAGAGATAAGATATTCCCAAGAGAAGTTTGTATCAGTGCCAAAATTAGAGCTAGGGCTCTAGAGAAGGTCTATACTATTGCACCGTATAAATGCCACAAAAATGGATCCGAGGGCTGGAGCACCTCTCCTGTGAGGACAGGCTGAGACAGCTGGGGTTGTTCAGCCTGGAGAAGAGAAGGCTGCGGGGAGACCTGATTGCAGCCTTTCAGTACTTAAAGGGAGCCTACAGAAAAGGCTGGGAAAATCTTTTTAGTAAGGCCAGCTGTGACAGGACAAGGGCTAATGTTTTTAAACTAAAATAGGGTAGATTTAGACTGGATATAAGGAAGAAATTCTTTACAATGAGGGTAGTGAAACACTGGAATGGGTTGCCCAGGGAGGTAGTGGAGGCCCCATCCCTGGAAACATTCAAGGCCAGGTTGGATGGGGCTCTGAGCAACCTGATACAGTTGATGTCCTTGCTCACTGCAGGGGTGCTGGACTAGATGACCTCTAAAGGTCCCTTCCAACCCAAAACATTCTATGACTCTCTGAAAAGGTACTTACAGGGGGTCTTCTACCATGACTTGTTCTTGCTGCCTGTTGAAAACCTACATCATTTTCTAAATCCTAGAAAAGATAAAATAAAAATATCAACCCTTTTAAAACTGTAACACCCGAAGCCACAATTCCAGAACCTTATGACTACTGAAAGCAGATAGGTAGAAAACCAATTCTTCTTCCAAAAATACTTGACTTGAAAATAACTGACTGACAGGTTTTACTAACAATAAATAATGATTACATTATTTGGTCTATCTTTTTTGCTATTTTAGATTAGAAAGTAAAACCTCATTATTCTCTGAAAAATAAAAACACACTGAGGCAGCAGAGCTTAAGTGATAAAATATAACATGAAATTATTTCCCTCAAAAAGCTTACTACTAGCACTACTTCTAGATTTTAACATCAATGCCTGTCATGCCAATATATTAAGATACCTCATGTCTCTGAGGTCACTCTGCAACTCCCATGAACTTGGCATTGGGATTTCACACAAGATACCAAATCTTGCAACACTGGCCTTGCTTTGAGCAGGGTAGGGAGTTTGGACCAAATGACCCCCTTGTTGTTCCAGTTCCACTACACCAGCAGTTACCAGAAAGTGGTCTGCAGGGTTACCATAAGTCATCCCAGATGCTCTGCCGATTGCACAGAGACCTGCAGGACTCCACTCTACTGTTATCACCACCAGCTGCAGCACAGAAGAGATCAATGACCTATTGACCAATAAACCTCTTTAGTCAGAAAGCTTGCTGCTGCACACTGTCTGGAAAACACCACATTGAATGTGTCTGAATGTGAATACGGCCTTCAGATAACCAGGTTTTTATACCTCCTATGTTCTAACTGTTAAAGCATATTAGATCTGTTATGAGACGTACACAAGTATTTTGCTGGAATAGAAAACTATCAAAAAACTAACCATTCAAAAACATCCTGGTGAAACTATGTATTTCTTACTAAATAAGAAAATTGCACTTCAAAGCAGTAGCACACTTGCATATTACTGTACCCACACTCTCCTATCTTGTACTTCGAAGTTAAAACCCTATGTATGGAAAAGGTGGGAAACAGCAAATATTTTTACCTCTGTGTCAAACGTGGGATTATAATCATTGTAGCCAGAATAAAGATCATCTTCATCAGCCTCAGGAGCCAGATGCACATTTTGCATCATTTTTCTGTGAAACATTTAACATGCCAAATATTATCCCAGTGACTTTATGTCTTTTAAAATGTAAATTATAAATAGTAATAAAGTTTACAAGTTCAGAAGAGCTCCAATTTCATTTTAGTTTTTAATTGCTGCTTTCAAAATTAAAAATAAGCTATGATTAGTCATAAAAACTAGGGTTCACCTATAAACAATATTAAATGGCACAATTTCATAGAATTAGATTTTGTTAGGTATTTATACCAACTGTCATGAAAATGGTCTTAATTATCATTAAAACTAAATGATCATAACAAGTAACTGTATTACTTTCGGAATGGTAGCTTTACATTCTCAGATAATTCAGATTTAAGGTAATTCTAAAGTTTGCCATTTTTTATTATATAGTCATTCTAATGAAAGGTATCTCTTCTAACTTCAAATCTTCCTTCCTTCCTTCCCTGTGTCCTTATATCAACCACAGCTATTCTCTATGTGCAACATTCTTCATATAATTTTGCCATTTCAATTCAAGCAGTTTTAAAAAACTAGAATTAAAGAAACCAAGAAGCCTGGGTTCCACTGCCTGTCTTCACAAATCCTGTGTCTAATAGGGCTGCATTCACCTCGT